ATTTTTTTTATCACAGTAAAGATCACTAGTTATTGTGGGTTAGCCTTTCTCAATGACACAGTATAGCCAAACTCATCCACTGAATACTATTTAAGTAATTAACGATGCAGACTATCAGAGGTCAAACACTTAGCATTTACTAGGAAAACTTTAACACATGTTTTATACACACACACACACACACACACACACACACACACACACATTGTTTTATGCAAGATGGAATGAAAAGAATAATTTCTGTTCCATGGAACTAGGTTTGGATTCAAAGCACAGCTGTAACAATGCGGGGGGGAATATAGACTTGGGCTGTTTCTCTAATCTTCAGTTTACCCATCTACAAATGAAGAAATAAAAAGAACATACTTTAAGATTTAGATAATGTGTATCAATACCTGGTACAAAGTTAGTGTATAATAAGTGGTAACTGTTCATACTGCAGTTTTCTAATTGATAAGAGCAATGATCAAGAAAATTTGATTTGTCCAAAAAATTCCTTGGAGACTAGGCATTACTGGTATTGGCAATGCTCTCCAGCCCAACACCACCAGGAATACATTTGCAGTGCAAAGTGTTAGGCTTAATACTTGTTGCTGTGATGAAGAATGCTCCCATGGACGCCATGGTGAGCCTCAACAAGAGGATTTTTAGAAAGGAACTATTACAGAATTTAGGCTTTGGCTGACTCATTTTTGGGAGGCCATGAAGAAGGAGGGGTTCACTCTAGATTGGCTGAGATCAACAGCAGAGACAATTCTACAGGAAAAAAAGTAGACCTGGACTGAAGATAAAGCAGAAACTGGTAAAAGGAGTAGTAGCTGCCACTGCCACTCATTTTAGGTGGGAGAAGGCAATGTTTGGCTTTCTGTGTGTGTTTTTGTCTTTTTTTTTTTTTTTTTTTGGTTTTTTGAGACAGGGTCTCACTATGTAGTTGAGACTGATGTGGAATTCACTATGTAGCCCAGGCTGGTCTCGAACTCAGCGATTCTCCAGCCTCCTGAGTGCTGGGATTACAGGCATGTGCCACCATGCCCGGCTTTTGTCTTTGTTTTGACTACGTTATGTAGTCACTTGTTTTCATTCTACCATGGTCTCAGCAAAACTTTGTTAGATACTGGTGTTTCAGGAGATTACAGCTGACAGGACAATAATACAGCCCAGCTTTGAGAATCAGGCAGCTTCAAACTACACTGAGGCCTCACTGTCAGAACAGTTTTTGGATGTGTGGGCTCACTTTTTGTTTTCTTGAAGCCTCTAGGAGGTTAGATCCACCATGAAAGCTTAGTAAGCTTCCTGAATTAACAGCAAACCATGCTTCAAAGTAAGTGCATGTTGTGAATATATAATATTTCACATATATATTTACATTACATTTATTTTTCATACACTGTGTATTTGGAGTAAATTGTAAATTAAAAAAAATCAGAATAACATGCCTTAAAATCTTAATGCTGAGATATTTGTTAACCTTTTGTAATACAAATTCAGCGTCTCTTACCTGAAAAACCTAAAAACAGAAATGTTCCAAAATCTAAAACTCTTTCAACATTACTGGCACTCAAAAAGTTCTGGATTTTAGGTTAGAGGTACATATTTTGTAAAGGCTGTGCAAGTATTACAAAATCTGAAAAACTTTAAAATCTGAACGCTTCTGGTCCCAATGATCCCAGGTATCTGGGATCTTGCCTTTTTCTTTTGGTAATTTATATTTAATGAAGAATTGAGCCTTTGTTCACTATTCTCTCAGCAAAAATAAAAGTACAAAAACATCTACATTTTAGTTTACAGATGGAAAACCTAAGCCAGCAGTGAGAAACCTGCCACATGCATACCACAGTGATTAACTATTTGTTATCACTGAACGCTCTAAAAGGTTTGCCATCACTGGGCCAAGCAATTTTATTGCGATTATGGCTCAAGTGAAGAGCTAAGTTACTAACTCTGGTCAGTTCTCCTTTCTCTACAAGAGGTAATGTTAGGTTTTATCAGTAAGTTCTCTCATTTCCTCTGATGATTTTAGTGGATAGGCCAGATTCTCTTCTTCAGCTTTTTATCACTTTCCATGCTTAGAAAAAATGAAAGCCAAAACAAAAAACCTTCAGCATCAACTCAATCACTGCTTTGCTTGGTTTTTCAAAGAAACACACCAGTGATGGCAAACGTTTTAGAGACATGTGCCCAAACTGTAACCCAAAACCCATTAATTTATCAAAAAGTGCCAATACTGCAATTAAACCTGAATACTGAGGTTTTAGTTTAGAAAAAACTTGTAAACCAACATCCTTTGTCTTAAAAGAAAAGCAACATGTGTACCATAGACTTGCCAACACCAAACCACACTGTCAAGATTTAGAAATCTATACTGTCTTGTGTGTGGTGGCACACACCTGTAATCCCAGCTATTTAGGAGGCTGAGGCTGGAGGATAGCAAGCTAAAGACTGGGCAATTGAAGAGAGAACTTGTCTCAAGATAAAAACTTCAAAGGGCTAAGGCTACTGGTCAGTGCTCCCTGTGTTCAAGCCACAGTAACACAAAAAACAAAGCAAAAGAAACAAATAAACAATCAGTCCATGTTGTGAGTATTTTTCTTCTTCCAAACAATGAATTTATTTTCATGAATATTCAACTTAATGGTTGTTTATTGTACACCTTTCAGGGGAAAATATTTTCATGGTACTGTTTACCATTTGTATCACAAACTAGACATTAGGCATTTTTAAGGTTATAGTAGTGAAGTAAATTTGTAAGACTGGATCAATTTAAAACACTGCTGTAATAGTGGTTATATATCAGTCTTTATTGCTGTGTAACACTCTCTTACCCCAAATCTTATGGAATATTCTACAGCACTTCATGCAAATGACTGTCCCAAAACCACAGCCCATGTTTTACTCTCTGAAGGTACTGTAAATTAATGAGTTAATAATCACAATTCCAAGTTATAGTGAAGTTGTGAAGAAACAGGTAAAGCTTGGTAGAGGGAGATCAGTACTGAACTACAGCAATACCTTCTGCATTTCTCATTACTGAGACACAATATCCAATGCCTGTAACTTAAAAGAGAGATCTGTTTCAGTTTCAGTAGGTTCAGCCCATGGCTGGCTGGCTCCAAGGCACAAACAGTGTGGTGAGAGGGTATGGTGAAGGAAAGAGGCTCAGATTATGGTGGCCAGGAAGAAGAGGGAGGGAAAGAGGAAGGCAGAGAATGAGAGAGAGAGTGAGAGAGAGAGAGAGAGAGACAGAGACAGGCAGACAGGCGGAGAGGGAGGAGAGAAGAGGGAAAAAGGGAGGGAAGGAGAGAGGAAGATGGGGGAGATGAGCTGGGGTCAAGAATACACAAGAATACATCATTTTAGGTCATATATCCAGTGACCTACCTCCAACCAGGCCCACCTCCCAACAGCACATTCAGCTACTGAATTCACCAGTGGACGAATCTATGGATGAGTACAGTGTCCCATGATCCAATTACCTTCCAAACATACATGATTTGTGGGACACATTTTATTTATTTACTTTTAGTACTGGAGATAGAACTGGGGAGCTTGCGCTGGTGAGGTAGGTGGTAGAACCACGAGCTAAATCCCCAGCCCAGATCTACAATGTTAACACCTGAAATCTGGAAATCCAGGAAAAGCACTAACATCAGCAGTCACTCCTCATGTATTTCAGGGTAAGCTTCTCATTCCTAATCAAAGGGAGAACACTTGGCTAGAGGTTCTCATACTGGGATATGAATGGCAATAGTAAACAGCTTAAAAGGCTGAGATCATCAAGTCTCTCAGGAATGAAAGAAAATACTACCAGATGTCAAACTAAGTGGGCTAATTAAAGCCTTTAAGTATTTGAGGGGGGAGAAAAGAGGAATACTTCTCTCAAAAGTTCTAGGTCTCTAAAAAACACTTTTACTGAGTAAGTGAAATAAAGATTTAGTTGCTAGCAAAAAATATGTAATAAACAATGTGTATCTATATTTTAAGAATGTTAGATACATGTATGTAGCCACTGAGTTGTATAATAAAGGTATTTTCATGTGTAAATAAAGGTCAGATATTTATCACTTAAATACCTCATGTGATTGTGTTAAAGTCAATGGCTATAAACGGCTATCAAATTTTTATTAATGACTACAAAGAATCCCCAAAATTTAAATTTAAATAAATTTAAAATTTTCATTTTATAAAAATGAAATAAAACAACTTTCTAAGATATCACAAATTAAATCACACTGTCTATAATATATAATGCTAAAATTTCATGAATATGGATAATTTTATTATTTCTAAGGCATGCTATACTCAAAATTTATTTCAGCACAACTAAAAACAAAACAAATCTCATAAATGATCTTAATTTGAAAGACTATGACATAAGCTATATCAAATATATTAATCTGATTAACAAAAAAATGATGGAGCTACTTTTATATTAAAACTTCATACTAGTCAGTAATTTCTTAAATTACAGTACTGTATGAACTATCTACAAAGAAATACTGATGAACAGACAATAGTTTAGAAGAGCATCCAGAAATGTAATTAATATGAACCTTAAGAATCGGGGTAGAAGTCTTTCTAGAGTTTACCAAAGTATAAATCCAGTATAAACAGGCCAAATCAAAAGATGTTAGTTCCTCAGGTATGTCAATGTACTCTGTGACCCCAGAAGAATGTGATTTACTTTAGAGGACAATGATCATGACATCATTAAATTACAAAATAGAATTATTCATTATTAAAACTTACATAAAAACCATGTAACATACACAGAGCACTACTGAACAATTTACTTTTCCATGCAGTTTGAACTTCATAAATTATCCTTCAAGTCAATAATGGCAATTATGCTTTTCCCCCCTTAAGTATTTAGGTTCAGTGTCAATGAATTTCTCTACCACAATTTAGGTCAACTCAAAATTAATTTTGCAAAGCATATTATGGATAAATCCTGATTTATGTCTATTATTATTCTCAAATACAGGTGATATTAATATTCTTACCTGACCAGGTTCTGTTCCAGTAACAGTCAAGTCTTGGACAGATCTACGTCTTGGTTGCCCGTTGCCTTTTAAAAAATAAAAAAAGCAAGACACTGAAATCTATTTAAACAGGTAAGAAGGATGGTAAGGAGGTAACTGCTACAGTAGGAAGCTGCAATTTGTTGTTCCTCAGATCTACATTAAGTATTTATAAGAAAAATGAGAGTTTATTGTTAAAAAAGTTCCCCATACAAACCCCAAAAAAAAGAGAAAAAGAAAGAAAAGGAAACAACTGCAGTGTTTTAAATGAAAAAGATGCTGGTCCACAACAGAGTACTGTATAGCTTAATACAATAACCACTCCTACCACATGAATTGCTGCTGAACTCTCTTCCACCATCTTCTGTCATGTGTTTAAATAGATGGATTCTTGGGGACTGGAGCTGATGATGGCATCTATTTCAAGGACCTTACGTTACAGTTTTTAACAGCAAGACAGCTAGTAGCAGGTTGTAAGTAAGATACGACTGACTAACTGGCAGCAGTACCTTATTTCAAGGCCTCAGAGGATGCTTAGGCTTCAATTTGTTATAGCAAATCAGATTCAATCCCATTAGTCATCCTTAGAATCTAGTAATTTGTTACTTGTGAATAAAACTCAATTTTCTTCTGTTCTCAAATATAGTTTGTGGAAATGGGCTATTATGTATACCTTGCTTCAGGAATTTCGATGTTAATAATACGACTCAATAAAAAAAAGAATTCTATAAACTTTAGCCTTCAGCAAAATGGAGTGAATTAAGCAAGTGCTTCACTTGGCACTTTTATTTGGGGATAGCGCTGTTTATACAGTATCTTCTAAGATGAAAGAACAGCTGTCTAAAAGGAAACACCAAAATACAATGAGTAACAGCTGACACAGTACTCAAAATTCTTTTGATTCTGAAGCTGTATTACATAAATTTGCAAGTCATGAGCAGCACTCAGAACATGCACTCTAATAAGAGCTCTGGCCCAATTAACAAATAATTCATTTTTAAATATTTAAATTTTATGATTCTGAGAATTATATACCAATCACTGTTATCAGCTTAATCCGTGACCTCTTTTGTTTTTGCACAAAAATGCTAAATGAAGCCTACAATAGAATGAAAGTGTTTAATATGTGCAGTTAATATAAAAACTCTAATAGATACTCTTCAAAGTATAAATCAACACTTTTTTTCATTTTAGAATGTTTTAGAATTCTCTGCAGTCTGAATTCAAATTTACTTTAAATTTCAATTTACCAGAAGTCCCAACTTTCCACTACAAATTAAAATCAGAAACTGTGCATTTCTTGAATCAGACACACTAAAATCCTTTTATGAATACTTTTAACTATCCTTGTTTCCAAGGACAAAAAGGGTCCCCACCACAATGACTAATAAGCAATTTTAGGCACATTTCATTCAACACACTCATTCTAAAGTTAGCATACATGAGACAGGCTTGTAAAATCGTCTGGAATTCTCCTTCCAAATCAGCAACATTTGTGAATCTGAGGAACCAACCAGCACGTGTCCATAAACCATTATATCACCATTGCAATAACAACCAAAATGAACCGAGTTTAGGTTGGAAGGACGAAATGGGTATAAAAACGTTTAAGGAAATAGGGTAAAAGAAAAGCTGACAGTTAACAAATGTCATAAAATGAGAAATATTTAAGCTACAGCGTGAGTAAAAGCAAGCAGTATTAGGCAATGCATTTTATTTACCATAACCATGGCAGAAATTATCTGGCAAATAGTTCAGACAAAGCAAAAAAGGAATGCAATCAACAAATACTTGTTGCTCCAATATTAGCTTTAAAAGAAATATTTAGAAATATGAATATAAAAAAATCTCATTATTATAAATGAAAAATACTGGGTGTATCCTCAGAAAATATGGATTCTGAAAAATCTGCAACTGAAAGTACTCAATTTACATTATTCTACGGTTCTTTGATATGTGCATCACCTGTATTATACATGGTAGTGCAAACAAAGTATGTAGAAGAAAGGAGGACAACAGGACATGAACTGATGATTGATCAAGGGATCTGAAACCTGAATATGACCATCTGAGCTTGCACGTCATTCTAGAATTTTCATGACTTATGATAGAGAAAAAAAAGATACTTTAAAAAATGACTATTGATCAAAAAACAAACAAACAAAAAAACCAAAATAACTACTGAAAAGCCAACATCTTCTCTTGGAAGAGAATATGTAACATTGGGAGTCCTTGCCATGTACCTCTTCCCCACTTCCCTATAGAAAGGAAATAAAATCAGCAATTTATGGGTCAATTCAGTTCATTTTGCAGTAATGTCATAAAGACAAAATCTACCTGTTCAAAGAAGTTGCTCTTTTAAGTACAACTGAATGAGTATTTAAAAGCTATCATAGAATTCTTCCAGAGACCTGACTTAGGTCCTAGTCTACTTCTGTGGCTTTTCTTACTAGTTTAAAAAACTTCACAGCCTTCCTTAACTACCCTCGTTTTTTTAATGTTCCAGAAAATTCTTTTTATTTAAAAACTAACACTGTATTTTCCTGGAATGTCTCTTAATCAAAACATTGAAAATTGTGACATTCACAGTTTTAAATATTAAAAATAATGGCATTGTTCATTGCAAAAGTCACTGCTGTGTGGTAAACTGAATATATAATTATTAACTTCTAATTTAGGCTACCCATAAATTTCATATTCTTTTACCAATTTCAATATACTTGGCCTCTTATATCTTTCAGGAAGGTTTTTAAAAATTCTCCTCTCAAAAGAAAGCACTGTCATCTACTGAACTCTGATATTTGGATTTTTAAAAGAAATGAAAAATTTTAGATATTCTATTAATACATTAGTCTAATATATTATTAAAATGTATAATATAGTCCTGCAATCTTAATCCCTATTTCAGTTGGGTATTTGAGACAGAGATCAGACAAAAAAGAATTAGTAACAACAACAACCAAAAAAAAGTGGCAAAAAGAAAGGAAAATCCAAGTAAAATAAAGATCTACATTTTTGTCTTTATTAAAGTACTAAAAAGAAGTCTAAAAAACTTAAAGCAATCCAATAATCGAGCACCCATTCCCTTTTCTTCAAATAAAGTAAAACAAATTACAATACACTCACTGGCTGAAAAGGAAAAATGACTATGATTTTAAGATTCAAGTTCTACTCTCGTATTTTTTCTTTTCCCTTCTTTCCTTTCCCCTACTACCCTCACTTCCTCCTCCCCTTTAGAACTTTTCTTCCTGTTTCACATTATCTATTGTATTATTATTATTATTATTATTTTTGCTTTGTTTTGTTTTTTGACAGGGTCTCTGAACTTTTCTTCCTGTTTCACATTATCTATTGTATTATTATTATTATTATTATTTTTGCTTTGTTTTGTTTTTTGAGACAGGGTCTCACTATGTAGTTGAGACTGACCTGGAACTCACTATGTAGCCCAGGCTGGTCTCAACTCTCAGAGATCCTCCTGTCTCAGCCTCCCCGAGTGCTGGGATTACAGGTGTGGGCCACCACGCCCAGCCTAGTATACATTTTGATTCTTATTTACACTTTCAGTTTCTCACACCAGAGGAACTATTCAGTATTTGGGAGGGGTAGAAGAGTTAAAGGGAGGGCAGGGGAATGGGGCAAAAAATAAGAACCAAGATACATCATACAAAGGTACAAATTCCCGCTGGGTGTGGTTGGGCATGCCTGTAGTCCCAGCACTTGGGAGGCTGAGGGAGGAGTACTGCTGTGAGTTTGAGACCAGCCTGGGCTACTTAGTGATACTACATAGTGAGACCCTGTCTCAAAAAAACAAAACAAACAAACAAAAAAAACCTAAAATTCCTCAAATTCTAATGAAAAATATTGAAGAAAGCAGGTTTTTTCAAGCCTATTCCAATTTATCGATTTATAACATCCAATAGGCAAGTGTACTAGAAAACTGCCATCCGTGGTCTAAATCTTGGGCAGAAAAATTTTCATATTTATATTTACAAAGGCTGATTTAAAAAATTTTTAATAAAAAATTATTACATTGACAGACACACTGCCATTAAGCCCTCAATACATGTACCCCATCATTCTTGCCACGTTTTGCAGTAGTTTCTCAAGTCTTCATTCACGTCTTTATGTGCATGATTAAAAATACAGTAAATACTGATGCAAAGTCATCCAACAGAAATGCACGTATATAAATACATTACAGTGTGTACTAATTCATTGGATCTGGCACTGTGCAATTCTGGCTCTTCTCCAAAGTAAAAAAGACCACAAAAAGTAGAATGAATTCAGGACCTCAAAGCAGCCAGGACAATGTAACTAAACACAATAAAAAAAGGGAACTTCCAGAACTGCTTCAGAAAATGGCAAGAAGGATGGGATGTATGTTTGAACCAAGAGGGAGGATTCTGAGGAGGAATAAGTGCAATATGTTATTTATTAGAATGAATTTAAAAAATAAACATTCACTGCATTTTTCAGTCATACCTTGAACTTTGCTTGGCTGGCAACAGGAAGGCAGCACCTTCTCCACAAGCAAAGCGTGATACATTTTCTTGGTAATTTGCTCTTAAATGTGTCTTCTCTGTAATATGGAGTCAAATTAACCTATGCAGTGATGGTGAGCCTTTTAGTTTTCAGTGATACTAAATAGCCCCCTGCAGCACATGTGCCATAGGTTCGCCAACACTGAAGCTTGCCCATTAAGGGCAGGAGCACAGTAAAAAGTAAAAAGAGGGTTACCATACTGAAGTTTGCCAATAACTCAGCACCAGGAATAATGAAGGAAAAGCAAAGAAATTGTATAATCTGATCTATCCACCCATAAATTTCTACATGACCTAAGAACTATTACATTTATAGATATTGCTGGTAGCCATAAATTGCTTTTTCTTCCTCATCTGAATGACACCATAATATATAATATTTTTGGAGTAAGTAAAAATGATTAGGGTCTTTGGATTTGTTCACCTATCAGTTAGAGGCATTTGACCTGTTTAGCCATTATAAAGATACATAAAAAACCATGATGCTTTGTGATACTTGAAGGAGCACTCTTATTGCAAAGCAGTTCACTTTAAAAGTATATACACTTTGCATTTAGCCAAATGGAAGTATGACAAAAACTACTTACGTAGAACAAATAAAATTTTTAAAACTGTATTTTAAGAATGTTTATAACTGGATTCCAGTGCTAATAATGATTTAGATGTATCAAGAATACAATAGCGCTTCAGGAAATCATTTAGAGCAAAAAATTTCTGAAAATATTAAGAAATTTGGGAAGTTACCATCTTTATTCATAATTAAAATGTCATGCAGGAAATATGAAACATTCTCAAAGGAAGGGCTGCATTTTTATTTGTAACTTAAATATACAACCTAGGGCTGGTGTGGTGATGCAAGCCTATCACCCCAACACTTTGGGAGATTGAGACACAAGGCTCAAAACTCATTATGTTAATGTTTGGATATCTGAGGGTGAGGGGAGGAATGAAACAAGAATATTTAATAAAATGGATCTCTGAACATTTTCATTCAAACACCACTGCTGCTCTGAAAATTAATAACAGAATGAAGGTTTACTGATTCCATAAAAGACTCAATCTCATGATCTCTGTGACTGAGGAGCTCTCCTTAATGTGCACACTATCCTCTTCTACTTCTTCTTCTTCTTTCTTTTTTTTTTTTAACACTATCTTCTGTTAAACACAACAGGAGAAAATGGATGAGATATGGAGTTAGAAGTTCTGGGTTAGGGTCCCAGCTGTGTGACAATGGGAAAATCACTTAGCCTCATGATATCTAAAATCATCTGTAAAATGGCTACAATGTCATTTGATAACATAGCTAAAAAGTTGTAATGAAGATCAATGAAGATCATGTACTTTACAATCCTTTGTAGTTCCAAGTGCATTAAAGCAGGGTTTCTCAGATTCAGCACTATTAAACTTGTTGGACTGGATAATTCTTGGGTGGGGGCTACTTAGTAGCACTGGAATGCTGTGCTCTAGCACTATCTGCCTGCACCCAACAGTTACAAACTAGTATTCTTTCTCTTATTCCCTTCTGCATCATCTTGTATAGTACTGGCTGTACTGTCACACACACGTTCTTAATGCTTGCTTACGCAAAGGACCTAGATTATGATTATACTGCTATCTGTCTAAATTTTCCTGATTCAACACTGTTCTCTGAACAGCAATAGTGACAATGTAACAAGAAATCACTTAAAATTAATGAGAAATTAATATAGTTTATTCAATAGACAAAACAGTCTAAAATTGCATAATTTATGTTTTTGTCTCCTAGTTCCTAGCCAAGGGAGATGCTCAATAATGGTTTGTTTACTCATTTAACAAATACCTATTTACTAAACACTACAGTATATTCACTATAGGAAGCACTGGCTAAGGATAAAGCTCAGTGGTATAGTGCTTGCTTGGTATACATGAGGTCCTGGATTTGATCCCCAGCACTACAAAAGAGAAAAGTGGCATTCTTCAGGGATGAAGATGTGAGTTAGTGGTAGATCACTGGCCTCATATGTATAAGACCTTGGGTTCAAAACCCAGCACAGAAAAAAGAAAGTTAGGAAAGAAATAAAGAAGAGAAAGAATGAACTGAGTTAGCTACTACTGATACAACAAAAATAACTAACACAGACATGGACTGTTATCCTTACAGAGCTGTTAGTTTAGTAGAGGAAAAAGCAATCATTAGGCATTCAGTTATAGTACAAATACTATACTAAAAGCTCAAACACATCCAATACACATAGTGCTAAAGAATTCATTCAAATTACAGACATGAATGTGTCTGGAAAATATGGTGTATTTCCCAATCAAATGCTTCAATAAACAGGGGGAAGAAAATCTAAAGCAGAAAGATGATTTTTTAAAATAAAAGTAACATATACTAGTCAGTTTTGAAGGTCAGTGTGCCATTTTAATTTTTATTAAAAATGGTAATTTATCTTCATTTATGAAATGACCACATGAGGGAAAAAAAGCTTACCATTTGAGACACTGAAATACCACTTGTGAATTAGGTATAACAATAGTAATTTGTGAAATAGTCCTGATAATATACAAGAACTAGAATTAACCAATGATTTTTTCATTTTTGATAAGAATACCCTACAAAACAGCAAATCTCATTTAGTTTCACTTTGCTGCTCCTTTCTAGGTTAAAAAGAAATGGTATTTAGCAACCCACTTCTCTCAACTTTGTATTACTTGCTACTAACAAAGAGGCTAGGGTAGAGAGCCTACTCCAAAAGTGGTAAACTGAGGAAGGAATGAAATCAAGGATGGGAAACAATTAAAAACAGTCTTCCTTCTGCTGGCTACAAAAAAAGGTGTGGGTTTAGTTCACATGTCCACTATCAAATAAAGAGAATGGTGGTATGAGTTGATGTTCTCCCTTCTGTGAAAAGGTTTACTTTCCTTTTATCCATTCTATCAGAGATCCAAGGTCATCTTTTCAAGCATGTTTCAGAATACGTACACAGTTTTCAATGTGCATTAGTGCATGCAAGGTATGTGCTTTCATGTTGTATAAAAATTGGAGCAAGAAGCATTTTAAAAGTACCAGGGATCATTATTCCGGTTCCACATTATTAGACCAGCTCAGGTGATCTATGATACCTGGTATGACGATCTCAGGGACATCCAGAATGTTGCCAAATGAAGCGGTTTTACGGTGGCCCCGTTTAGGCTTGGAATAGGCTGCAAAAACACATATATAGAGTATACATGCAAACAACCACAAATAGTAACATAGAAAATGATTAACTACAAAAACAGAAAAATTCTCAAAGTTATGTTAATAACATGTCATGCGAAATGTCATGCAGAACTATCTAACTTTTTATCCATGCTTAGAGAAGGCATGATTAAAAAGCAAAGATCTAGCAATACAAGAAGTTTCACATATTGGTTTTAATTAGCAGGAAGAAAAAGACAAACAATGCTGCAGGGTAATGAGGAAGCTGAAATTCAAAAGTATTCATAGAAACAAACTACCTAAATGAAACCAACGACAGGTGATAAGGGCAGGGAGGGGAGGGGGGAAGGGGAGAGGTGTTAATAAGAAATAAGCTTCCATATTTGATTACACACACACAGGAATACATTCTTGTTAGGTGCGCTGGAAGTGTGCTAAAAAGTAAAATTCAGTGGTTAAATGATAATTACTGAAATAAAGTATGAAATGTATATGCTTTCCTAATTATAAGTATACATATTTCTAATTAACGGTATTTACTAGTTTTCAGAGTTTAAGGTAAATACCCTTTAAGCAAGAAGATTGTAAAAAGTGGAATATGAACCTCACAAAGAAGACAATTTAAAATTGAATTCTGAATATATAGAATTCAAGAGCTATCAAATAGAATATGTCCTGCATTTAGGCAGAGAGAGTAAAATTTAATGTTTGTGGTTCTCTTTAACCTAGTGAAATATAATTTCTATAAAGAATAATTATAAATCAGTACTTGACTAGAAAAATAACACTACAAAGACACAAAACTATCGTTAACACTAACTTTTTGTTTCAGGGTACAATTAGCATTTGATTAGTCTTTCTTGAATGACATCCCTAAAGTGAAAAAGAGTCCTTAAAGTACAGGCTTATGTCTCTGCAGGCAGGGTTCATCAACCCTACTTCCCAGTAGGGTCCAATCCTTGTGATTCGTGGAAACCAGAGTGTTTGTCAATGACTGGTGACCTCCACTCAACTTCATTTCTACAGATCCACCTTTAAGAGATTACTAGTATTTTTTTTTTTCCATCTCTATTCTTTTCTTTCTTTCTTAGCAACAGAATTCTGCCTTTATTTTGAATATTTCCAGACAAATGACCATAGCTGTGGAGCTATTTGTAGCCATCTAACTATGCCATTCTGGTCAATGACATTTATGTGGATGCTGTTAGAGAAAGCTTCTCCGAATAGCTTGGCTATCCCTTCACCTGCTCGTATTTCTTCGTTCCTACTGCCTGGAATGAGGAAGTGAGGACTGCAAGAGCCATTTTGGACTATGAGGCAAGCTTTAGGCTGAAAGCAACACAACAGGCACTGTGACATAGGGAGACAAGAGGTCAGCTCCCCGATGATTATGAAGCCTACCTACAGGCTTGTCTGTATGTGAAAAATAGAGCTTTTGTGCCAGACATTATTATTTTGGATATTCTGTTATGTCTAATGGATTCTAGTGTTTGGTGATGATAAAATCAAGGATCAGTATAGTTAAAGACAAATATAGTATGCTAATCCATCTGGACCACCTCATTCTGGAAAGAGCTCCACGTACAATGAGAATATTCCATTAGAGATTAACAGATAATCTGAAAGGCCTAAAAAAAGTGGTTAGCAAAGTTAAAAAACATATGCAAATACATACGTATGTATACATTTATATACCTGCATATTTAAAGGACTAAAGGTAAATGCACAAAAATGTTCAATGTTTATCTCTAATTAGGATAATTACATAATTTTTGTTTACATTTTCATTTTTGACAACAAAATTTGTTTGCTTTTGTAATCACTTCCCTGCCATCACGAGACAGCAAAAAACCAAAGCAAACCAAACTAAACCCAAATTAAGCCGACATTACTAAAATGAATGTGGTTAGAAAAACAGGTGTCAGATGTCTTACCTACCAAAACATGGTATCTGTTTTTATGCTGACCAGTTATTTCATGATTAATAATTTTAAGAACTGATAAAATATAATTTAAAGAGATTACTTTTTCTAAGATCCAATAAAACTGTTACTATCTTTGATTTTACAATTAAATGAATTAACCACAACCAGCTCAGCTACTTTTGCCACTGCAGGGAAGGAGGAGCGGACAGTAAAGCTGAATCATAGGGATCTACAATTTTTTGTTAAATTCAAAACAAAGTGCTATTACTTGAGTTTAGCACAAAAAATCCAGTAGAATCAGTCAAAATCTGAAAATATTTTGGTTTTGGCCAATTTCAATTTCTCAGTTAAACTTTGAGCTCTTATGTGAGCACAAAGAATTACATCTAATAAGATGTACAATTGGGAAGATATATTTTGATAGCCAAATAGTTTTTCAAGTCATATTTTCCTTAGAATTTGAGGTAAATGCATAAACTTTCAAAAGCTTGGAAAGTATACTATCCTACTTCTTGCTTAAAAAAAGACATAAAACCTCTGACACTCCCACTAGGATTTTCAACTATAATGCCAAAAAGGAATGTCCACTTTCACTCCTCTTCAGACTACAGTTACTTTTACCTGTGGTCGCCGCGATCCTGGCTTCTATTTCAGACATGTCTGCACTCATTCTCTTGCCCTCAGAGGTTGGGGGCAGGCTCTCCACACTGCTGCCACGGGAGGCCCCCAGGCTTAGACGGCCAGATTCACTCTGTCAAAATGATAAGTCATTCTGAATCACTAAGGTTCTCTGGATTTAGAAATCCTGGGGATCCTAGAAAGGAAAAGCCAAGTGGAATCCTCATGGATCCTGTACTGCTCTGAAAGAGGAGGGACATTTGCAGAGAGTGGGAGCTATAGCTGAGAGGACAAGCCAGATTCTACAGTCACTGAAGATAGTAGTTAAATGTCCCAATTATTAGTTAATTTAAATGCCTCAAACAAGGAGAGCAAAATCAGAAGGGGAAAACAACTTGTTTTACAATAGCTGGTAGAACTCTTTCTAAATCTTTGTTCTTAAACTTAGCTGCTTTAGGAAGAAGAGTCAGGACTTATGTAATAGATAATGGCAAATAATTTTAATTAGCTATATAATATGACTACTGCTAAGGTTATCATATAACTATACTTTAAAAAACATAACAAACCTGTTGCTTTGCCTGATTTTTTAACAATTTTGATTCTAAGCGTTTAATAGTATCATTTGTAGCAGAAACTTGCTCCATATTAGTGTCACTTTTATTACTGGTGTTTGTAGAGGCAATGTCCATGAATGAGCCTAGGAAAACAGAAACGTTTATGGTTTGAGATTGAGGATACAAATGCTTCATTCAATAATGTAAGTTTAAGTTCTTTTCTACACTGGCAAGATATGAATAGAAACAAAAATTCTATAAAATACTTAAAAATAAAAGTAGATACTAATAGATATTCCAAACAAGCCCAATTTAAATGAATCTTAAGGACAGTACAAAAAGTTACCAAAATGCCTAATCATCTAACAGTCAAGAATAACTTGAGGTAGCAGAACTGAGGGCAAGTAACTGAGAAGACTATGAGAGGATGAATGCGTATATAGGAAGTACTTGAAACTCCGTGTGGAAAATGTTAAGTTCGAGTTCCTATTAGGTATCAATCATGTAGTTGGATATGTGGCTATACTGGGGGAATTTGTAGAAGCTGTCTTGTGATTATTCCAATTTTCTGAGAAATAGCAAAAGAAGTCAGCTGGAAATGAGGAGTTGAAAAATGTTTGTAGTTTGATGAAAGAGCCAGAAATACAAACTGATGTAGTGTAAGAGAGGAGATGGGGCTACAATGTAACTGTCCAACAGCATATCTGACGACAGTAAATGAGTGCCGTCTTCACCACACTCAGCTGCACTGATCCAGGAAAGGAATAAGCTAAATTTAATCAGGCTTGTGATTTAGTCAATCAAGTTAGAGAAAGGGGATAGAAAGTGAAGCATTAAAAAAAAAAATTATAATAGCTGAAAATAAGTGGAAAGATGAAGGAAAAAAAGGACCTAAGAGGATTAAAGGTCAGTGAAAAGGTAGAAGTATCAAAGGAAACTATGGAAACAAGAAGAGAGTTTGGTGGTAAGGGGGAGAAACAAAACATAATTCTACAGAAGTTCACTTTAGAGTTCTGAGCAACTAAAATTTTTTCAGTAAAATGAGAATTTGAGAATAATGAGCCAAACAATTAAACACTGCAAAAATATATGAAACTATTGTTGAGCAAGAAATAAATCAGTAAATATATTTATTAGTAAAAATGAAATTTTAAGTGCAGGATAAATCTACATGTACACAAATACCTTTTAGATGTAATTAAACTAAAAGAGAAACGTCACATATTTTGACAAGTACAATTCTTCTAAGTTAGAGTGCTATTTCTATTTTTTATGACCACAAACTACCATTTCTCAGTACTTCGTATTTTACAAAATTGAGGAATGTTTAACTAAAACATAGGTTCTTAAATAAATCTCTATAGAAAAAAAGTAGTGTATTCATAATGAAGACATATTATATACATTTATAATAATTTCTAATACTATTCGATCCAGCAATATTATGTAAAAACTATTTTTCAAATTAAGAATGATATATACAACAATATAATATACAATCATTTTAAATGTAACTATGTAAAAATTCTAACACTTGGTGAATGCAGGTCTTAAATAACTCTTTAATCTAGGTACCTTCATGAAAAAGGATGCACCTGGAAATTCAAAGTACAGTCAATCATATGAAATGAAAGAATTAAAATGCAAATGGGGATATCACTCATTGCTTCTTGATTGTAATTTCATGATAATAGATAAAAATAAAATCAGGATGTCATTTTTTCCATTCTAACCATTTACCTGTACTGGTGGCAGAGTTGCTCTGTCCTTCATCTGAATACTGACAAGGATATTGTAATGGCTCATCTGCTCCTGGAAAATACTATATATAAAAAGAAAAATCATAATTAAAAAAAATTAATATAAATTAGATCCTGTTAAAATTAACTTGAAATGTTTGTCTGAATTATTTTCTTGTGAAATTTCACTGTAACAAAATTTATTTTCGTAAGGCACATACTAAATTTGAAGAGCCCTAAGTTTTGATTCTACAGAGATGACAATACAACTCCCTTTTGAATATGAATTATGGACAATGCCGATTACCTACCTAAGCATCTAGTTTATATGGAGTCTAGATAGTCTTAAAGAAAATAGCAAATATTTCTCCAGAGGAACATAGAATAGAACAGTATCATTTCTCACAATGACATGAAATACATTCATGTTCTCATACTGGTGATACAATTCAACTGTTACAACGATTGTTAGTTTGACAAATGAGACTGGTATACCACATAGTAACTGCTAGGACTAATGTTTTAATTTTCTAGAATGCCTTTCTATGAATTAAGTGACATTAATATTAAAAGTATTTACTGGAAAAAATTAGAATTTACAGGAAAAAGCAAAGTATTCTTCTCAAATTAGACAAAACACACATGAATAAAATAATAATCTGACTAATTTATATAGCCCGATGTTTTAAATTAGCTTGTTACTTTGGGGTTTCTTACACATACACACTTTAGGGCCTAGGGTTCTAGCTATAGGGAATTCAAGTTGCTTTGCCACAGTTATTTTCACAGAATAAACAAAGTAAATCATTGACCATTTAGGAAATCACTTAGTCTATATTTGGGAATATTGTAAAATTCTTCTGTTGAACAAGTTATTTTGAGATTCATGTAGTTTATAAGCATTTGAACTTATTAAAGCCACTGTGATTTTTATGAGTATTTTAAAAACTAAAAGCCTAAAATATGCGTAGTTTTAAAATATCTGATTTATAGACTAAGAAAATTCGATATTTGAAAGGAATTCTTCTAAATTAAAAATTCCATTAGCTCCCCAAAATTATTATGTGTGAAATATAACTTCTCCAGTGCCTTGCATAAACAGTTGATTTTTTTTTGGGGGGTACTGGGGATCAAACTCAGGATCTTGCACTTGAGAGACAGGCACAGCACCACTGAGCTAAATAACTGAATTTCTGATGAAAATCTCTACCAGAAAATTTTAAATTTAGGTAAGCATGTTATTAAAGTTTTAATATACCTAAGTCCTGTGAAGGTTTTAGGTCTAATGTAATTCTGCTTCTATCACGCTACAGATCAGGCAGTAGGCCCAGAAACAAACTGTAATGTAAGCAGTATGTAAACTCAAGTCTAGAAATCTACCCTAGCCATATTTTCATTATAAAGAACTATATTCTTTACCTAAAACAATATTTACTCTTCTGATTATGTGAGTAATACCTATTCTAACTTGGAAAATACAAAGTATAAAGTAGGAAATAGTAATGTTTCCTTTATTTGAAAAGCCCACTAAAACTCAGTGTATATTAAATTCCCCTAAACCCAACGCCCCTCAAAAGAAGGATTATACCCGCATCAAGTGAGTCATTATTTTCACAATTTCCTCCATTGAAGGTCGCTGAGAAGGATCTTTAGACCAACAACGAGTCATCAGGCTCTCAATGGGCTTAGGTAAATTTTTGATCAGTGGTGGTCTAGTACCTATAATTAAAAATTAGAGGGGGGGATGTATTTACTAAAGAATGGTACAAGATTTTTATACATATCTCCAAAGCAGTATTTATTTAGCATGCTTATTTTTGGATTAATGAAAGTACTTTTTGTCCTTTAGATTAACATGTATTCTATGTATAATTTTCATAAAGGAGAAAACACACCTTTAAAATAACACATTATGGTAATAATAAAACTGAGAATTTACAATATTTGATTTGTTATAAACATTATTTTTAACAAATAACAAAGGTTTAATGTGTTTTATTAAGAAAAGTAAAATGATAGCTTGAGGAAATGTAACCTGTATTTCAAATGCATTGCAAACATTTTAAATGTGTTTGAAAAATCATCTATATTCAGAACACTGCCAACTATGTTATACTCACTGACTTCCAAACAAACCTTTTGTGGAAATGGACCTTATTGCTGTTGTGAATCAGTCACTTTACAAGTTGAAAACTGCCAACTTTTTATTTATTAAGGTCTCTATTTAAAGAAGTCCTCAAATATGAGATCTTTGTAATTTAATCAGTTAACAAGTTAGTTCTTTATGCCTTATTTCAGTGACATTCAATTGAGAGACAGCAAAAGCAAACTGTCTTAATCAATGCTCTAGTCTTCTTCACAATGAAATGAAAAGGTGTTAACACTGAAGTTTGTACAAGAAACTGATAAAATGGCTAAGATTATTCTGATGATGGTACGGTCTGAACAGTCTATAAATGACCTAGACAGTTTGGACAGACATTCGTTTTTATCACTCATGGAAGTGTATAAAATGTATAAAAATATATTAATTAGAGTATAGTGAAGTGATAGGAATAAAATAATAGTGATGTTAAAATTAGGTAGGTAATTTCCTTTTTAAAGAGATTATTTTCTCATGCAAAGGTAATTTTATTAATGAAGATGCACTCCAACATTATACATGATTGGAAACATTACTAGAGATAGGATTTAAGGACCCTGATTTGTAAGATATGAGACACGAGTCAGAAAGATTTGGATTCACTGAGCTAAGTGTATCACTTAGGAATCTTGTGACATTAGCCAAGTTATTAGCCAAGTTCTCTAGAGCTCAGCTTCCTAATTTGTAAGAAAAAGCAACAGTACTTACTCCATAAAAATGGCACGGATATGAAAAGAAAGGTTATGTAAAATATTTCATATTTTGCCTTTTAGGCGTTAAGTAACAATTTTTTTTTTTTTTTCTCATACCAAGGATTCAACCTATGACTTTCATGTTGAGCTACAAAACAGGCTCTTTTTAAATTTTGAGACAGGGTCTTGCTAAGCCAGTGTTTTCCAGGCTGGGCTCAAACTTCCAATTCATCTGCCTTGACCTTATATAGAGTACTAGGATTACAGGCATGTGCCACCCTGCCCAGCTACAACTCCTATGAGTCTTTGTTTTATCTCCTTGGTAAGACCTTTCTTTCCCATGGAGAAAAAGAGTACATTTTATTTATGTATTCTTTCCAGAGTTCAGTCCAATTCTTCTCTATCATCAGGAGATAGAGGGTTCCAGCTGTGCAATGACTGATGACCTTTCCCTAATCAGTGCAGCCCAAATGTCCTCAGACCCCATATGGAAACCAGAATTCTTAGCATTGCCCTGATCTTGGGAGGAGGGGGCGAAGATGGTAACGGGAGAGTAGTCTGGTAACAAAGAATTGTACATTTTTTAGGGATAAATGATTTTTAGGAGCGATAACAGGAACAATCTTCCAAACAGGAACTATATAAAGTATATTAAAGAAAAATTTCCTTTCACAAACCATTATGAACAGCCCACATGATTCGGAAAGCTGGGCCACCAATCTCATCAAAAGGTTTCCGACGTGTTATTACTTCCCAAAGGATAATACCCCAGCTGAAGACATCACATTTTTCACTGTAATTGCTACCTAAAAAAGAAGGCAGTGTAATCTTGAGACTTTTTTTTCCATATGACTTACAGAAACAACTAGTTTATAAATTTTTACAATGGGTATCTGGACAAAAACAAGATGCTGCCACATACAGAACTAAGAAATTACTCTTTTGGAAATACAGTACCTAAATCTTTTCAACAAATACATTTTTAAAATGAATTGAGTATCAGCAACACACTAAAAAATGTACTTTGGAAAGTCAGTTATTTTCTGTCTTTTCATTAAGAGGAACAGGCCTTGCTTTTTTTAATGTATGTGGACTAATACTTCTTTTGGGGCACAGTATGAAAATGTATGTATCCCCAATTTTATTTTGTGGTAATTTGAGATTGAACCCATGGTCTTGTACACACAAAGCATGTGTTCTACCACTGAACTATATCCTCTGTAAATACTCAATCTTAAATTTTGCCCCCATTCTCTGATGGGTAGCACAAATCTGCTATGAAAGCAAAGACATTTCTAATTTAGTGTTTTTCTTTCAATATAAAGACAAAATTCTTAATTTGTAAACTTAAAAAAATAAGCAGTATGTAATGAAAATTATGGATAACAGATTTACAATAAACTGATTATGCAGCACAATTTAGAGAACTACTAATTTGGTGGGTGAATCAATTCAACAAACACCCAACTCTCCCCCAAGAAAGTAACCCTCTTCCCAGCCAACTTGCAATAATTACAACTATTACAGTGATAAGCTTTACATGCTGAGTGGTATACTGTACTCTAGTACTGCAATGACACTGCCATCTAAATTGGTCTACAGGTGTTCACAGATGACATCTTTCAGAAATGTAGAAATTACATAGTGCAATAGTCTGAACTTTGTTATTCTAAATAATTCATGATAACTATCATTTATCTATATAAGCAAAACTTTTTTGCTTCTTTACTATACTAACACTGTGCTGTTTTACGTCAAGAACAGGTATTTTAAATAAATGATTTTTTAAAATGCTCTTATGGTTTGTGCCTGGATGTCCCCTCAAAGCCTCATGTGATCACAGGTGGGCTTTTTGGAGGTGGCTGGATCTAGGTTGTGTAATACTGGCATTAAGGATGTGATGCTGGGATTGATTCATGGTGCAATGCTAGGATTAATAGTATAAGTGCTATGGGTAGGTAGCCTGGAAAAAAAGGAATGGAGAGAAAGAGCTGCGGTTGTCATATCTTGTCAGTTGCTGCCTTGTGCCTGCCCTGCTTTGCCATGAACTGCTTCTCCTGTGATGCCCCTCTGCCATGCCCCCCACCCTGCCTTGGAGCCAGCCAACTACGAACTGAAACCTCTACAAACTCTAAGCCAAATACACCTTTCCCCCTTTAACTTTGGGTTGGGTATTATGTCTCATCAATGAGAAAAGTAACTAAGACAAGTGCCAAATATATGTATTCCACATATGAAACAGAAGACATTATTTAATTTTGTGTAATTTAACACTTGCTTGTCCACTAACTTTTTAATTGAATTTTTAGGCAAAATAGTTCCACTCAAGTTACTATGCAGTATATAATTACAAGCTACTCTTTTGGATCCTGAATGAGATACAGAAGTATAAAAAAATAAATACAGTATAAGCCTGCATTCTATTTGTAGTTCTCAGTATATATTTCTGACCAATTACTTGCATTCATTTAAAAAGGCATGCTCATTTGAATTTAACTTATTGTTAATTGCTAGAAAACCAGTACCAAAGCACAGTTTGTTCACATTATCCCTGGCATTTATGTTTTTTAAGCCTCTATGAATAGTGATTTAGCCAAAACTGAATCATTACTCCAGTGGGGAAATACATGGTTAGATTCCTGTATGCCTCTGGTTGCAAATGTTTTGTCAATTTATCAATATAAAATTTTGTTTTATCTTTGTTTCTTTTCAAAGACATCTTATATAACATAATTTATTAACAGTGAACTCATGGTACTGTAAATCATCCCTGAATGAATATCATCTAACATGTATCTTCATGTATTCTCTTACCCATTCATAACCTTCTCATACTTAGCACAACACTACATCTTGGAGCCACTTTAACTACAGAAAAAAAAATTACTAACAAAAATGGGGAAAACATGGCTCTGGGTAGATGGTGAAAAGGCGCCTTGTTTACAGTATGAGTAGAACAGGAAGAAAGAGCACTGCCTTATTGGCTGTCACATTGGGAAGCTTGTTGGGCAGCTCAAAATGTGTAGTGGTCTGTACATTGTGCATAAATAGCTGTCAGTGTCATAAACTGATTTTTAAGTTAAAAAAGTTTAACAAGTAGGCAATTTTGTAATCATAGAATCTGTGAATAATGAGGATCAACTATACATATTCTTGAATCTACATAGAAGATACCAATAATATTCTGTATTAAACTTGGGATTTAAGGCTACAGTTACTTAAAACCTTTTTAGATTTCAATATATTCCTTATAACTACAAAATATGCAGATACAAAATCATGGAAATAGGGAAAGTCTATAAACATATAATGGATTCATACAGAGTGAGGTAGGGTACCAATCACATTATGCTTTTTCCATCATACCTTCAAAAACTTCAGGTGCCATCCAAGCAGCACTCCCCTTGTTATTGGTCATATGTGTCTGAATGTCACAGGCTGTACCAAAATCACAGATCTTTAGAACTGTCCCCCCTGCAACGAGCAGCAGACTGTTTGGAAAAAAATAAAAAAGTAAGAAGTTATAAGGCCAACATTTGATTCTAGAATAAAAGAGGAGAGATTCCTTGGGATGGAAAGAGTTAAGCAAATGAATGTTATCATTAAACTTCTGTGAAATGTTAGTTGGTTACTGTAACAGCCTACTACACTCACATTTTGGTGTCTCCACCTCCAGCTCCATAATCTCTCCTGACCAATATTCTCTCTGGCCAAGATAAAACATGGATCTAAAAAATTTTCCAGTATGTCAACATTATGGTGTCATGCCGTGGCAGTTTAATCATAAATTTAATTAAAGATAATTTAAATCAATACATAAGGGAAAATGGTCCTTATGTAAAATGCCTTTATTGTGAAGGTTATTTCTAAAAATGTTCAAACTCTAAACCATTTTTGCATTTAGAAAATGAATGTTGGATAAGTTCAAATCTACTGTGGTTAAAATGAGCTAATGAAAGATTTCTTGAAAATTTTCTGAACTTAGGATTCCCTGGGTGCTATTATTACCCAATTATAATTACCAAGTAGTACAGCTTTTCGTAAAAGGTTTTGCTTTTCCTGACAAACAGAAATAGAGATGAGTAATGCATAACCATATTGTAGTAATGCTCCATAGCAGCTGCTACATGTTATCTCATTTTACTTATAAATTTTAATAAACTTTTTGTGTATAATTTTGTACTTAAATCCTAACTGGAGAGAAATAGAAAACCAGCTCTTTTAGCCCAATGTGAGTAAGATAAACCACATACACTGTTATTCACATCTTCATACTACCAAAAATACTTCCATGGTAAGTGAAGTGGCAAAATACTTAATGCAATTTGTCTCTAACTACAATTAAACAGAGAATTTCTTCTCCTGTCTCAATGTTTTTGTTCAGATTTTTACTACTCTTCACTCAAAGGAATTGTAAGTACTCTCTAATTGGCTTCCTTGTTTCAACCTAGTACATTCACTGTATCATAATTGTTTTTTGAATAACTTTTATATTAATATTTCTTTATTCATGAAACTTCCACCAACCCTAAACATGACATTCAAGGCTCATTGAAACCTAAATTTCTTCTTCTTTTTTTTTTTTTTTTTGGTACTGGGGAATGAACTCAGGACCTTCAGCTTGCAAGGCAGGTGGTAGAACCACTGAGCTAAATCCCCAGCCCTTTTTGAAAGCTAAATTTAAATTATCTTTGCAGGCTAACTTTCACAAAGCTAAGACTAAAAATATATTTTACTTTGTGATGTAAATGTGAATGACTGTGCAAATAAAATAGACAAGGACAACTTGATGCTATATAAAACACCTCAATAAAGCATCAAACGCTTTCTTTATATGCTATTCTGAGACCTCTTCCTGATCACAGAATCTGCAGTTTTCACTGACAGTAAGATATTGCAGATTAATTGCATGTAAAAGGATAGCACAGCCATTCCAAAGAATATTCTTTTCCCCATAAGCTTCTGGAATATCAATTCTAATTCTAAAGTCCAACTGTATACTTGATGCCCCTGAAAGACCAATAATACTTATAGGATCAATTCAAGCATACAGATGCTCAGAGAAATAAATAGCCCAGACGAGGCCTCTTTAAGTGTCTTAGTGGTGGTTACTAATAATAGGAGAATTCTTTTGAGTTTAGTGCATATATTTGGTCTAACTAGGTTTAAGCCTAAAATTTATGGGGGAATGATTGAATGGAGATGGGGACAACTGTTTAAAGCTGTGTAATTAATGCAATATAAAAGATGATAGAAAATGAAATTGACTTCCTTTTGTAAGCTATTTCTTTATATATTGTTCAATAACTAGTCACTAATTTCAAAGTCAAAACACATCCTAATAAAGATGATAAGGGATACTTTTTGGTGCTGCATCTGATGATTTCAGACTCCTCCAAGAAAGGAATACTTTGTGTCTGATGCCTGCCTGTATCTTTTTAATTACGGTTAATGTGTTGCTGGGTAAGGAGGTATGCTTTTCATGAAACTGTTTTAAGAATTGAGCTATGTGTTAATATAGAGGAGAAAGGAGGACCAAATACCTACAAACTGGAAACAAAGAGCTAAATGATTTCTTCTTCACAAGCCAAAGCAGGTACTTAAGACAAAAATAAAAATGCCATGAATCTAGAGCTTAAACATTATTTTACCAGAGATCTGTGAAAACAGAAATAATTTTAAGCCTGGGAGGTGAAAAAGATACATTACTACTACTAATGATTCCAAGATTTGAAACCGAGGTGGAATGCATGAGATTAGATATGTGAGTGAGTTAGATCCAGAAAGGATACTTTAAACCAATACAAGAGAATGGAATAATTTACAACTATACTATTACTTTGTGAGTGAGAAACCTCTTATCTGAAGACTGATGTGATAGTAGAGGGAAGAAGATATGCGAAAGCTTTTTTTTTACTGCCTTCATATGTGAATAAAGAAGAAAAAAAAAGGAAAATACATTTCTCGTGTTTCCTTTTTAAATTGAATACCCCTACAAACAAAAAATTCAAAAGTTTTAGCGTCCCCCTCTTCCTTCGTAAGCAGGGATTGAACCCAGGTCTAAAGTATACCAGACTATACTGAGCTACATCCCCAGGTCCTAGTTTCAGCTTTTAAAGGAATTTTAAAGTTCTTTTGACTCATAGGATTCTCCATATGGAGAAATCTGGAATATTTTCAGTTTTATTCACATGCCAGCCATAGCTTTTTGCTTTTCCATAAAAGACAAGTAATATCACTCTATAGAGTTTTGTAGTATATCTGTCATGTATGCATATTGTGCTAGTTGTTAGGCTTCAGTATAAGTAAGACTTATTTTGCCCTCAAAAAATTAACTTTCCAGTAGCAAGATTACATACTGCAGGTACAAAGTGCTACAGGTTAACATTCTAAAAGTATGATAACCTAAAGCAGGAGTTAGTAAAAATATAAATCTCCTGAAAACAATATTCTAAAATGTAAACTCAGATAAATAATTAAATGATGAAGGTAAATAAAAAATATTCTTGAATAAGCCAATTATTTCATGGGTAATAATTGCCTTGAATTAGGCGGGTGGATGTAGACAGAGGATGAGAGGGAGGAAGGCTGGGTGTCACGATATCCAAACTTACTTTGGTGGTTTCAGGTCCCTGTGAATTAGAGCTTTGGGTTGCATGCTGTGTAGATAAGCCACTCCTTGGGAACACTGTAAACACCAACTCATTGCGTGGGCAGCAGTGTAGTATGGCAATGGTTCGGCACCGTGCAGCACTGTAAAAGAAAGGCACAAACTAAAAAGAATTTTATTGCATATAACAAAAGACACAATGTAGATGCAAACACTAATGCAACATGAATGGGTATTTTTTTTTTTTTACATATTTCCATTAGTTCTGCTTCTGTTTTTTAAATAAACAAGATTGAAATATCTAGTGATTTTGAGTAGATAATTGTCATCTAAGTATTTAACATTTAAAAGTATCTACTAAATGTTATTCATACATTAAAGTAAAAATATGTAATGTCACACTTTTTCAAATTGATAGTTTTCCACAAAGTAATATAAATTATAAGCATCTTATTCACACTACTATATGAGACAGAGTGATAGCATAGAAACAAGATGGGTGAAACAAGAGGCTACAACTGTAGCACTAGATAAAACTAGTAGTTTAACCCATTAAAACAATGGAGTATTAGGCATCCACAACAATAAGGAACATATGGGTACTAAGTTAATGTACACATAAAACATTAATTTAAAAATAAATGTAATTATATATAAAACTGTTATTAAAGTAGATGATACTTATGTGTATGGATGATATTTTAGGGTGAAAAATCTGTTCCAAAGGTAATATGTGGTACACAAAACTTTACTGTTACAATTAAAATGATCTGTGAATTGAGTTTTCACAATTTTTTTGGGAAAAGTAAGCAGTGATTGGTAAGAAAGTAACAGGGATGATTAGTTCTAAAGTGAGGAGGCTCAAAGCTATAAGCAGGCACAAAGAAAAAACATCTGAAGATATTTAAAAATCTATTATAAAAAGTAAATTTTACTTTAAATGTTTTTAATACAACAAAATATTATCAATTAAAAAAACTGGTAAGACTTTTAAATTTCATATACTAATGTAACATCATGTTTTAATTTTAATCTTTAGCACCTTTAAAAATTTCTTTTGGAACTTTGATGGTAAACTGTGAAAGACATTAAGTTACCTACAATTTATATTAAAAGCTTACAAATTATTTTAATGTACTACACAAAGACAGCTGTAATGATACTCACCATTATATAAAGAGCCACCTTCAGCATATTCCATCACAAGACACACCTGAAAGAAATGTATGCTAGAAGAATTAACTGAAGCTATGGCAATTTAGGGTACCAGAGAGATAATTTAATCTCTCAATTTTAAAGAGGCATCATTAAAACTATTCTTTTGGCCTCTACTAGGTAAAAAGGCACTACAGGAAAAAAAAATTAAAAACAAAACAACAAAGACAGGTATGTAGGACCTAAGATCTTGTCTTCTAGGAGTACTAAGAGTAAAATTATATATATATTAAATACAATCACAAGATTTTAGGGAACTTTCTCTAGTGGTGATAAGTAGATGCTCTCAAAAGTTATCAAAGCCTTATAAGAAGGTAAGTTTATTGGATAAGACCAGCCAAAAAAACAATCCCTCCAATATACTATTTTGCTAAAAGACTAGAAACAAATTAAATGTATAAAATACAATTGTTTTTTAAGAAATCTATCTCAGATAGTAGATCAAAATAGCTTCATAAACTATATAATCTGCCAGACCACAACAAAAAAGTTACAGACTTACTGGATTCAAGCAGGCTCCATACAACTTTACAATATTAGGATGGTTCACACGGGATAACTGTCGAAGCTGTAACAAATTAGGGATGCTTAATTTTAAAGTAATTTTTGAGGTGCTGATTTCATAACACTGCTAAAAATCTTAAGGTCCTACAAACTATTTGAATCCTTCAACAATTATTGCTTACCATGTAGTAAGCAGTGTGATCACAGGCCCTAGAAATACCAAGTGCCTACCTAGAACAGCACAGAATCCCTTTCCTCCAGCTATTTAGTTCTGAAAACAAACATGTAAACAAAAAATTAAAGCAACATGAAAAGTGCTGTAACAGGAGCTATTAACAAGGCACAATAAGAGATGAAACTAACCACTAAGCAATGTTAACACATAACCCCAAGGACAGCACTGAGCTGATGTAGCTCAGCCAAGGACCATGTTCCTTTTGTCATCATCATCTGTACAGCTACAGCTGACTAGTCTACTCATTGTTTTACTTTACAGATAATTATCACAGTTCTGCAGGATAGGTATTATCATTTTCATTTTAAAGATGAGACCTTAAGGTTAAAATTCAGAGAGAATTAAATGAGCTGTGAAAAATCCTACAGCTAGGGCTTGAACTTTATTGGACTATCTGACTTAAAATGTATACTTTCTACATACTTGGCTCCAATTCCATTTTCTATCTGAAATAATTTCCTCCTTGCTGTTCCCACTGCCCTAGTAATTCTAACCTGAACTGCTGTAGTAATTACTGTAGCCTTCTCCTGGCTGGTCTTACTTCCAGTTTTAATCGGATCCAATAATTCACAATGAGGTCAGTGAGTGGTTTGGCTGTACTCATTTCTCTTTTTCGCCATTTCAGACTTCTACTAATGTACCTCCCTGAAAAAAGTTGATTCTTGATGTCTTTTTTTTGGTCTCTTCTTCCACTTCTTTTTACCTACATTATGCTGCTGGTTCATATTAAGTCCGCCCCTTTACTATATGCTACAGAAAATTTCTCTTTATAACCAACATTTATGAATTTTTTATCTTAACTGAAAATACTACTAATTACTATAATCACATATATACAAATACATTCACTGTATTTCATCTTGTTAAGATTCAACATGAAGCTTCAGATAGCAAATTATTCAAGCATTTATTTCTGCTTCCTCCTTAAATCTTAATAAAATAGTAAAGTTTTTTTGTTGTTGTTGTTTTTAAGTATGAACCCCACAAAATGCAAAGAATGTGAAATGAGAAAAGAATACACATTTCTGGAAGTTGGAAAAGCTAATGCGTAATAATAACTGACAGTGTAGACCCAAAAGAGATGAATTATAAACTGGCAATGGGAAAAATGAAAAGTAACCAGATTTATCTCAAAACTTCCAAGAGATGAGTGGTAGCATGAGGTATCTAATGAATAGGTGTAGCAGCAAATGGTTGGTTGGAAGCCCCAAAGAGCCTTTCTCTGACTTCAAATAGCCCAGTGACTAACTCAGCGCTTCCTCAGCAGATTAGAGGTTGTAGTACTCCTTCAGAGAAGGTGTTACAAAACAGCACCTGGATTAGGGGACACCAAATGCCAATGGAAAAATAAGTAGTTGCCTCTGGGATGCAGAAAATTAGACGAGGGGAAGTATAGGGAACTGAAGTTTCTTCACTAAGAAGTTTAAAGAATCCTTTCTTCTTTAAACTGACTCCCGAATCCTAGCATTTAAAACATGCTATTCCCCTCAGCTGTATGAAACCGCTGACACAACAGTATATAATCAATGATCTTATCTAATCATAAACAAAAATCATGACTAAAGCAAGGCTAAGTTCAGACTGCTAGAACATGTAATTAAAGATCATCTTTCTTCTTGATGACATTAAACCATTCATCAATATTTCTCCTTGCAGCTACTTCAAATTACTTCACCATAACACAATTAAGTTCTCATTTGTTATATATTAAAAATACCAAGTACTGTATATGATTAAAAGAAAATATATAAATTTAGGAGATTTATAAGAGAGAAGTTAAGCCAATAAGTTAAAAGTGATAAAAAATGTTGATTTGATAAAAAATTTTGGTCTAAATAGAGTAACATAAAGTTAATAAAATAAGGAATAAATCAGATAACACAATAATCTCATAAATGAATTATCCTTCAACATCCTATCTGTGGAAGAACAGAACTATAAATATTCATGCTAAGGTTAAACCAAATTTGAAATTATTTTTTCTTAATGTCATGTGAATTTCTAAAAAAAAAATTCTACTAAAAATGTAAGCATAGTTCTTCCTCCCCCACCCCTCTCTTCCTTCCCTCTCTTCCCTTTTCTCTCTCCCTGACTTGCCTCCCCTAATAAAATCTCCTGTTGGGGGAAAAAATGTATGCATAAAATTCCCCATCTTAATTTTAGATAGTATGAAAATATGACTTTTCTATTTCAAAATTCAGAGGTTATGCCTTGAAATAGATTTGAGTTCCATGGCTGAGACTACATAATAATTCATGAATGAATTCATTTATAAAGTAAATCTGTTTCTCCCTAGTTTTTTTTTTTCAGCTTTAATTGAGTTTATTGGTACATTTTAGGGATACAGTACAGTTACATTCATTGTTGGGATCTTGTACCTCTACATGACAAGTCTTGATTCTCATTTTTTCTCCTTACCTCTGCCCTCCCTTCACCCCCTCCTCCCCTCCCCTTCTACAAACACTTTATTTTCATCTTTTCATTCTCTCACATTTTTTTCTTTTCCCTTTTTACTCTTCCCCTACCCATCCCACCTTCCCTACACCTTTAGCTCCTTCCTTTCCATTTCTAAATGTCAGTAATCTTATTAGAATCTTATGCATTGTTGCAGATTATTCACACCAGGGAAACTATTCGGTATTTACACATGTGTGACTTATTTATTCCACTTAGGAGTATATCTTCACTGAGATTCCACCTTATTAAAAAGCTTCTGTACTGCAAAAGAAACCATCAGCAGAACTAAGAGACAACCTACAATGAGGGAAAAAATTTTTACCAGCTGCTCCTCAAAGGACTATTATCTAGAATATATAAAGAACTCAAAAACAATCAGCCCCCACAAATATAAAGACCCAATTCAAAAATGGGCATCCTAAATGAACAGACATTTCTCAGACAAAGAAGTAAAAGTAGCAAGAAAATATATGAAAAAATGTTCCACATCACTGGTCATTCGAGAGATGCAGATGAAAACAACACTGAGGTTCCACCTCACCCCACAAAGAATGGCTGCTATCAAGAAATCACACAATAACAAATGTTGGCGGGGTTGTGGGGAGAAAGGAACCCTCCTCCATTGTTGGTGGGAGTGCAGACTAGTGCAACCACTATGGAAATCAATATGGAGATACCTCACAGAGCTTGGACTGGAGGTTCCATTTGATCCAGCCATCCCTCTGCTGGGTATCTTTCCAAGAGAACTAAAAGAATCATATCACAGAGAAGTATGTATACCCATGTTTATAGCGGCACAGTTTGTAACAGCTAAATCTTGGAAACAGCCTATTTGCCCATCCGTTGGAAACTGGATAAAGAAGTTGTGGTTTTTCTATAAAATGGAATATTACTCAGCCATAAAGAACGAGAAAATAGATTCATTCATAGGAAAATGTTTCTCCCTAGTTTTAAATTAGAATTGAAAGTATGAATGACAAAATGTTCTTATAGCACCTTGGTTTAAACAAATTGCTGATGCCATGTATATACAGAAATGGCGACTGAGAAACTATTTCTTTCACAGTATTAAAATCAGAGCATCTCAGGTGAAGAATTACAGAAAAAAAAATCTCAACTTACCTCTACAATAAAAGCTTTCCTCTCAGATTCACTTTCTATTTGCTTAATAGCAACATCTTTCGCTCTCCACTTTGCTTTGCAAACAACTCCAAAGGCTCCTCTTCCAACAACCTGTTTAAAGAAAAATCCACATGAATCAGAAGCAAGTAGATTCAGTCCAACATATAACATTGAAGCTGATATTTAAGTCTTATAGAAAATTTAGAAATACTGTAATCAATATCTGGATTTGCCACTAGTAACAGTTTAGTTTAGATCTTAAATGTCCTCCAAAGGCTCATGTATTGAAATCTTGGTACCCAGTTATGGCACTATCAGAAAGTGGTGGAATCTTTGCAAAATGGGACTAGGAGGAGGAGGTTAGGTCATTGAAGGTTGTCCCTGAAGGGGAAATTACTCCCCTTCTCCCTCCCCTTTGCTTCCCTGTGGCCATGAAGAGAAAGACTTCCATCACACATTCCTTGCCATGGTGTGCCCTGCCACAGGCCTACAAGGGTCAAGCAACCGTGGACTGAAATCTCCAAAGTTACGAGCCAAAATAAACCTTTCTTCCGTGAAGCTGTTTATCTTAGGTATTCTGTCACAGTGTTGGAAACCTGTCTCATGAGCCAAGAATTTTCACTGAAGTACAAGTTAATGAAATGAAGTTTCAATCTTTGAAAAATTATGGTCTACACATTCCTTCATTCTCAAATAAAGCCAAAATAAAAAAAGATAAATAAAAGCATAAACAAAGTAAAGCAATTTATTAATTTCAGGAAAAAATTAACATGGGTAAGAAGAGTAGAAAGATAGTTTAGAAAAGTAAAAATAAAGGGCAGGAACATACAAAATATGTTTTAAGCTACCTCTGAAATAACTGTAGAGGCAGAAGAAATGGGGAAAGATAAAAATACAGATGAAACAAGATTGCTCATGGTGAAGAACACAGAATGGAATTACCTATACAATGGAATACTATTCAGCAAAAACCACAAAGTACTGAAACATACAGCAACATGACAACCTCAACAATGTTATGCTAAGTAAAATAAATGACATTAGAGATCAAGTTGATAAGATTCCATTTCTATCAAATATCCAGAAAAGAAAAATCTACAGTGATAGAAAGTAGATCAGTAGTTGCATAGTGCTGAGGGGGAAAAACTGGCATTAACAAATTGGTAGCATCTATCCAGCCAAGGTTATGGAATGTTCAATGGTTTTATCATGATGGATGACAACTAGGTAGATTTACAAAAGTCAATGAATTGCATACTTCAAATGAGTGAACTGTATCATACATAAAATACAACATCATTTTAAAAAATTATAAAACTAAAGATCAATCATATATTATTGTTGAAGGTAATGGGTATCACAAGGGTTCATTGTTTTGCTGTGCTGTTATATTTTTATAAATGTTTGAAATTTTCCATACTATGAAATAACAGCATAAAAACAGAAATTAATGTTTGATACGTGTTAGAACAAAATCATTAGATATTATCATTGTAAAGGACTTTTGTTAAGTACAATTACTTCAAACTCTCAGCTTCCAAAAACACCGTGTTAAGGCCTTTTCTCTAAGCAAAAAACCTATCTCCCTATACCATATTTATAATGTATTTTCTACACAGTGGGTGAAAAGGCACGTGCTTTGTATAGTACCCCATTTAAAGCCTTAGAAGGCAGGCACTACAGCGGTCCTCAATTTACAAACAAAGCACCTATTTTTCAACAAGCAAACCAACTTTTCCAAGGGTTCATGGCTAGCAAATGGGAAATGTAGAGTTTAAAGTGAGGCAGTCTAATACCAGGATGTTAGTGATCCTAATCTGTAACACATACAATGCCCTTACATACATGAGAAAGCAGTTCTGCCTCCCCTTGGAGGATACATTACTTTAGATAAACTTACACAAACCTGGCACAAAACTTTTCTATGTTGACTATAACAAAGCTGACTATCATTAGTATGATCAAAGGATTTATTACCTTCATCAGGACACTATGTAGAGTAAAAAGGTGGAACTAATAATGACTATATTAGAACAGTTGTAATTTGGGATATATTGGCACTCCAGCTATGGTTCAAATTGTACTTCTCGGTCATTTATCATATTGCTCAGTAAATAAAGTCAACCAAATGGTTAACATTTATTGAATGTTTAACATGTGCCAGGTATTATTTTATGTTTTTCATTTAATATATTTAATCCTCTGTTCTAAAATATAAACAATTGGAGTCAGAACACTGCAACTCATCCAAGAACACGTGGTCAAAAGCATTCGAGAGGCCAGGATCTATAATGTAATGACCAGCAGCTTCTGTCACTGGCTAAAGGAAAGGACTAACTCTAAGCCAGAAAGCAAAAGAGACCATCTCTGGTGGCTAGTCTTTCCTTTGGTGACTTTTTCGGTTATGCTTACTAGCCCTAGGCACTCTGGGTCCTTCTGACATTTAGGCTCTTGCTCTTCTCCACACCTCTCAAAAGAGAAAGGAATAATCAGTCATTTACACTTGCTATCCACTTACTTCTCTATGAATGAGTATTGGCTACCTGGCATCACTAGAATAATGCAAAGAGGACTCCAGGCTCTAGAACCAAACTTGAATTTGCAGTCTCTATTTACACGCCAGCTATTAATGCTGGACAAGTTAATGTCTGTGAGCTTCTGTTTTTTCAATAGCAAAACAGAGATGCTTATGTACATCTTCCTTTGTTCTTATTAGTGAATATCTACAGGGTTCCTAAGTTAAAACCAGGCATTTCCCTAAATACAATAGAATAATTAATGTTCAGAGTTAGGTATGCGTCAGCATAAAGTGCTACAGTACTTATTTCTCTCACAATAAACTAAGATGAACAGCAAACATCTAAATTATTTTTTTTTAATTTTATGGCCACATTAAGAAGATAGGCATAGAGACCAGCTTACCTGTTGATATCATAATTAAGTATGAACAAATGATTATGAAGTAACAGTGTATTCTTAACCATGTATTTACAAATATATCACAGCAACTGGTACTTAGGAGGACTCTGCTGTTTCACAATCTCAAAAATGTTCATGAAGGGATTCCAAACATTATGAACATTTCTGGATTATTTGTCCAAAAAACTGTCTTGGGCTTACATGACTATTTGTGATCCACAAATGACACCTTACGATAAGATCATAGCTGACTGAGTCTTTAACTTAAAACCATGGGAACAAAATACTGTATGGGTAAGAGAGGATATGCTAACTTTTCTCCTTTGCCTGAGAAGGTAATTTTCCAGAATATCCTGAAATATAAAAGAGATGTTCATGTAAGATGAGAGCCCATGGCCTCAAGAAGTTCCACTCTCATTAAAGCCACAAGATACTTTACATGCGCAGTGAAATAAAATCTAAAATGATAATGAAGGAAAGATGTGCAAGACTACACATATAAACTGTAACACACGAAAGAATTGTTCTGATTTCAAAGGAGTAAGGTTACAAGGACAAAGTCAATGGTGAAAGAATTAAATTTTTGTGCATCAAAAAATGATTTCCCATGTGGGCATGGTGGTGCACTCAGGAGGCTGAGGCAGAAGGACTAACAAGTTCGAGGTCAACCTGAGCTTCACAGTGAGTTCAAGGCCATCCTGGACTACACAGCAAAACCCTGTCTCATAGCAAAACACCCCCATAAAATAAACAAAAGAAAAAAATCTAATCAATCAATCAATCAATCAATCTGACATAATCAGATAAAAATGTGGAGACCATTGTTATAATAGAACTCATTGGTTAAGAAAGTCAGTTACTGTCTACACCCTAGCTCTCTCAGACTGACAGTACAAAAAAGAACACTCTGCTGATGAGGGAAAATATTGACAGTATACAAAGTTTTAAAAATTTTGCATTTTAAAGAAAATGCCTCCTGCCCCAGTATTGGGATTTGAGCACTGGTCAGGTGAATGCTCGACTACTGAGCAACATTCCCAGCACTTTTGTTTGACTGTTTGTTTTTTTTTTTGGTAATGGGGATCAAACTCAGGACTTTGTGCTTGCCAGTGAGCTAAAACCCCAGCCCTTCCAGCACTTTTTAAATTGAGATAAGCTCTTCCTAAGTCGCCCAGAAAGGCTTTCTACTTGTGACCCACCTGCCTCAGCCACCCAAGTAAGAAAATGAAAATGTTTTGAATACCCATAACAAATTTCATAACAAATTGACTTACTGTATTAATTTAGACTATAAGATAGCAAAGATGATGAGATTCAGAGGAATGAGTATATTTGGGCTATGAAACCAAAACTTAAAAACATAAGGAAATTATGCCCTTTTTTAGAGAAGGAGTAAGTTCATGTTACAAACAACCCAATTTTTTGGACATATGGTTGATTAGTAAAACAGCATGGCACAGATGGCTACCATTGAGACATACTAGCAACAGAGTAAACAATGAAAAACCTAATACTCAAATTACAAAATATTGAAAAAAATATATATATAACATACTATATAACTAACAAATTTCAAATTCAAGATTATAAATCAAATATGCTTTTTGAATTGTATTTATATCTGAATAATGTAAGTTTCTGTGATGTTAACTATTTTGAATGGCTCTTTCCCCCAAAGACTTTATCAAGTATGTAAAAAAGACAACATATCCAAGTTACAAGTATCTCCTCCATCAGGTACATTCATTCAAATCAGAGAAGCTACAAATATTTCATATTCCTCATCTGCAAATAAAGAAGAGAGGAATGTCAAAAGAACAGTTTTAAGTCAATTTAGAAATATTTCCTTCTCAATTAATGTTTTCTAAACAACATTTTATATTAACTCTCTTAAGATATTGTAGTTTAGTTCTCTTGGTTTGGGGTCTACAATTTAGTCTCATTAAAACAGCTGACTTTAGTTTAATAAAAATATTACAGAAGACTATGAGGTAGTATATAAATATTCTCATGCAATTATTGTAGAAGAGCACAAAAACCCAAACCAGAATTTTTTGTTTTATTAAAATATTGATTTTATTAAAAACTAAATTCTGTACAGTAAAAGATTACTCCATTTTTTCAAGCAAGTCAGATTAAGATAACAACCAAACACATAAACTGAACTAAATGGAATAGGATGTATGCCTGTG